AACTTTCCAGAGTTCTATTTTGCTGAAACCAAGCATAAGACTGAACTCAAAATAAACTATGAAGGTGCATTCCCGGACCTTCCGCTCTCGGGAATAGAGACTGTCCAAAGACTGACCTTCAGTTTTGAGCTTTGAAGTTCAGAGGTGGACACAGGTGGAAATACTGTGTTCTTCATTGCCCTTCGCTGTGAGATATATTCTGGGTTGCGGAGTAAGTGCCAACAGCAGCAAAATTATCGCCCCCTCCTGCTACTAGAGTAAGTCAGCAATGGCCCTTCTGTGGTCAAAATGGCAAATTCAGCAGCAGCTATTCGACAGGGATTTGCAAAAACTTCCCCATGGCTGTTAGGAATCTTATTCAGCAGTGTCTTTGAAAATCCGATCCTGTGCAGAATTCACTATGGAGAAATGACCTCCATTGCGATTTTTTTTAATGCGTTCTAAACAAATATAATTGGTAATTTTGCTCAATGTATATTTTGCACTTAGTACTGCAAAGTCTATTAGGTACCCATACAAATATCCAGCATTCATAAGTTTTATAGTGGTTCAGAATTTTATTTCCATATTAACGTAAAGCCTTCCCAAATTCCTGGCTTTATAGAGTCAGATCGCCATACAAAGCCACTATACATCACTTAGGTTTGTGATGAAAGAATGGAATTGCAGCTGTGTGAGTACTAGAATACCCAAACATGAATTAGACTCACAAGCATTTGGCAATAGTTCAGAAAAGGAGCTTAATCTGGTTTCATCTGAGACTGCTTTTCTCTGTTCTACAACATCCCCCCAAGATGTTGTGTCTGATATCGGATCACAACGTAATGGGAGTGACGCAAAATCAGAGAAAGCGCTAAGAAACCAGGGGCACGTTTGCTTTTCCCCCGAGATTATTTTTTCTCCTGCTTCTGCTGCTGCTGCTGCTTCTTCTTCTTCTTCTTCTTCTTCTTCTTCTTCTTCTTCTTCTTCTCTCTCTCTCTCCCCCCCACCCGATTCCAACTCTGAAATTCAAGGTCATTCACCTATTAGATGAATTAATTATAAGCCAAAAAGCAGCATTCATCGTACTCTGATCTCACTCATATCTATAATTAAGGGTAAATATAATCTTCCTTTTTAGAAATGTACCACCCACCCATTACATTTAAAGTGCTGACTGAAAGGAAATAATAGTTCAGAGCAAGATGATTTTAGTTTAACAAGAAAAAAGTTGATAATTTAAGCTTGAAGCAGTTAGTTCTATTTTTGATTACCATTCAGTTATAAATCTAATTTGAGATATATGCTGCTTTTCTGTTACTCAAGTTTAATTCATGGTTTGCATTCTTGGTTGCATAAGCAAAGTTCAGTGGTTGATCAAGGATGTCAAAAAGCTCCCTCCCCCGCCCCCACCACCAAGGGAATCGGGGCAGTGTTGAGAATGTGTTAGACTGAGACCCACATCTGATATAAAACAAACAAAAAAATTTTAATGAAAAAGGACCCTCACAGAATGTTGCATTTGGCATTTGAGTGGCTCTGGTGGGGAATAGCTTACTGCTGAAGAATCAGTTGTAGGGGTGTGGACCCCAAAATATTTAAGCCCAGTTCACAAAGTCAACACACACACACACACACACACACACACACACATATACACACACACACACATATACACATATATATGCTGCATGTATATATATAGAAGCATACACACACACACACACGTGTATATATATATATATATATAATATTTGGTTACAGTATTTTAAGTCTTAAAATTGTTTGTCTTTGGAAGAAAGTAAGGACTGAATAAGGGGAAGGGCTCGTCTCCTCACATTGCAGACAGTTAAAGAAAATGGTAAACTATGGGTTTAAGATTTACAGGTTAGCTCAGTGAGATGCCACATCTTGCTTCCAGTGTTTCCTGGCAGACTCGGGCAGCTCTCGACTGGGACCCAGCATAACCGCAGAGCATGAACTTGCACAATGTGAAAAACCTGAAACCTTTGTAATCTTATTTAAGGCAAAGATGAATTTGCCCATTTTGAAAGTAGACTTTAGCTTTCAAACTTAACTTTTAAATTAAGCATTAATGTGTGTGTGTGTGTGTGTGTGTGTGTGTGTGTGTGTGTGTGTATACCATGCAGGTGAATTCACGTGTAAATGAATGCCTATCCACTTTGTGCCATATTCAATTTACCTTGTTGAATTGAACGCCATTAACTTTCTAAGTTCATAAACTCAGGTTTTTTAGCCAGTGGAAATTTTTTTTTAATCTTTCTCATTGCTAAAGAGAGTTAAATGTGTGACGTAAAGGCCAAACAATAGTAAATGGTTATTGTTCATTTTACAAGTATACTCTACAATAAGAACACAATATTTTTATCTTAACTTTCCCTAGGGGGGTGATTAGGGCCCCCTTAAGTGTGAGGAAATGCTTATTTTTGTTGCTTTAGAAGAATGATTCTATTGTCTGAGAGAAAAAGAAAAAGGAACAAACAGGTCTAAAAAGAAAGAAACAGGAATGTGCTTTGTTTAAAAAAAAAAAGGATTAGCATGAGCCACCAAATGTAAGTGCTATCTGGTCTTAGTTCTGTGTCACTATCTATAGTGACACATGAACTATAGTTCATGTGGCTGCGCATGCAAGTGTTAGGGGCATGGTTTATTTACAACTGGCCCGTGAAATGATTTTCTTTTACATTAACAACAGTAAGGTCAGCCACAGCCAGTTAGCGATCTTCTAGTTATCATTTTATATTTTTCACAGCTCTGTTGTGAATGCTGCTAAAACACAGTATAGCAAGCTTGTTTGTTTTTATGTTGACCTATTGAGTGCATCTAGTTTCTTGGGAGTGGAAACGTTTACCACCAGGACCAACAAGAATTAAGCACTGGTTAAGCTCATTAGGAAGACAAGCAGGCATTTCAACCTATCTGCTCAGTCCTTGTTTGAGTATTTTGTATTATTTTAGGAAAAGAAAGTGAAGGCAGAGGAGTAACGTCTGCCTAAGATACAAAGTTATCAATAATGTCCCCTTCAAGCTCCTCTTTTCATGAAAGGGAGGCTTATTTGTAAATTTACCAGACTGTGAGGAGGCTGTGATTTAAATCATTCACAGCTTTATCGATGGAAATTTCAAAGAAAACTTGGGCTTTAAATGTAGATTTTGTTACCAAGATTTACCAAGAGTGAAATTGCAGGTTGAGATTCTAAAATTGTTGAATGCCACTTGTAAAATGATAAAGAAATCATTTGATGTTATGCTGGTTATAGATGTTATTCCTGGTTTATAGAAAACTATTACAAAGAGCTCTGTATTTTAGTTTGTCATTGGGTAGCATTTTGATATCCTAAGTTCGGAAGAGGCAGTAATTGAGCATGCGGATGTCATATTTTTATCTGGCAAATGACCTGGTTTAATCTGGTATTTATGTGGCAAATATGAAGATACTCGCAATGAATTTTTGCTCAAAATGAGCTTCAAAACTAAAATCTCATCCTTAAAGTTTTATTCGAAAGTAATGTTGACTGTGTATCCCTTGGAAAAGTCTTAAACTGGAAACAGTGAAGGCAAACTTATCAGTAGCTGTTTAGTCCTTTATTACTCATCCAGCACTCACAAAAAATCCCTGGAACAGAGAGGTTCTCTTTATGATATTTAGCTATATGGCACTGGAAAGGGGAGGTTTGAATTTTTGATTTTCCAGCTTATGGGTCATATTTGACCAACTGCTTTCACTAGAAGACATGCCACTTTGTTGAGCTATTTAGGAATCAAAAAGACTGTCTTAATTTAAAACAAGGACTCTTTGTTTTAGTTGGTGACTGCCTTGTGAAATTTTTCAGTTCTCAGCGGGTTAACCAGGGAACAGGGGCAGAGTCATAATTGGCCTATTTAGAGTATTTTGCATGTGAATAGTGTGTTAGTGAAGCATCCCTAAGTCTGTTGTGAGTGACATGGTGATTAGAATTTAGATTAGGGAAAACACATTCTGTACTTTATCAAGGACAGTAATTAGTTCAGTCAGTAAAAGTTGATTACAAGTAACGATAAAGTTAGATTTTTAGTACTTAATTTTAAAATTTCTTTATTAAATAGTAAATTTGTTCTTAATATAAATGGTAGTATCTACACTTGTTTTCTTGCATATCAGACTAATTAACAGAACAATGTGTTCAATGCAGAGTATAATCAGGCGATTTATATATTATGGGTAAGTTTTTATGTAGTTTTTAGAAAATGTAATATTATTATATGATCTTTCGTGTGTCATCATTTTTGAAAGTTTAGTCATTTATCACACTGTGATAAGTTAATGATATTTGCGAAAGTTTTCTAGTGCTCAGGTAAATGTTTAATCTGTGGGGATGTATTTTAACTTCCAGTAGTCCTCAAGAGGGCATTCTAATTTGTTCCTGTTCGCTTAGAATGCCTACTATTTCTATGATTTTGGAAGTTAGCGTGAGATTTGAATTTGCTCCCGGTTCTGCTGGCATTTTCTCTTCTGTGGGTGCTGTGTAAATCCGTGGGGGATAATGCCGAGCCGATGCAGAGTCCTCAGTGGAGGGGAGCGTCCTACCCTCACCCCCAGCGTGAGCAGTCGGGGGAAGTTGTGTGCGTCCGAAAAATCAGATTCTTCTGGAGTTCTTGCGAAGGAAGGGCATGAATAGTTCCCAGATATGAGCCTAAGTGTAGATGAAGAAAACATGACTCTTACACAAACGCCCTCTTCTTAAACAATCAAAATGTGAGTCGTCTTAGGGTGAAAGTACTGTTTCAAGAGAATCACCTTGTACCTTCCTCTCAAAAGCAAAGAATTTGAAAAATCACAAACTTCGTGCTAGCTTCTTAGACTGCTTTTCTTTTTCTTTTTGTTTGGTTGTGTTTTAATTGTTGCAGCTCGGCAGATGCTGTTTCCTTTATTGCCGTGGTTTAAGTACTAACAATCAGTTGGGGGGTGGTGAATGTGAAAAACTAACCTTCTATGTTTGTTTTCCCTTTTGAACCTTTTAGCAGAGTCTCCTTGGAGGTGACATGGATATGGGCAACCCAGGAACCCTGTCGCCCACCAAACCTGGTTCCCAGTATTATCAGTATTCTAGCAATAACCCCCGAAGGAGGCCTCTTCACAGTAGTGCCCTGGGTAAGGTATTCCTCTGCTTGAATGCCTGAGTGATTAGTAGTAGTCTTTTCCTTTCTTCCTCTCTTTTTTGATGCCATCCTTCTCACCCTATTCTCACCCCACCCCCCAAAACCATAAAATTTTCCTCAAATGTCAGGCTCGTGACCACCCCTCCCCAGTAGTACATTGGATGGGTATGTTAACAACTTCTAGTAGCAAGAGAACTATTTTGGTGTATGCTTATTTCTTGTTTTCTCTTGGCTGCCCATATAAGGAAACTTAAAAAAAAAAAATCAAAGCTTAAAAAAAGTTAAATATCTTGATTTTTATGAAAAAGGCAGAATTCGATTTCTGCCAGAATAAAATATGATAGCAGTACTGACATTTTGCTAAGGTAATGATTTAAGAAAATCTGGTCTAATCTAAATGGCTTCATGGTTTAATCTGTTTTAGTTAGGGAAATAGGCATTCGGGGACCTCACAGCCTCTTCATTTTCTTTCAGAGGTGCAGACAAAGAAAGTTCGAAAAGTTCCTCCAGGTTTGCCATCTTCAGTAAGTACTGCTTGTTTCTGCTTTGTATATTGTTTTATTTTGTTCTGTTTTGTATTGATGCAAGGGAGATAGGAGCAAATGAGGTTCCATGCGCCAGAGCAGCGTGTTTATCTAGACTGGGGATGAGGTAGGAATGACCTGCACGTCCAGCCACCTGACCCACGTTGGAGTGATTAATTGTGTATCCTGGAAGACTGGGTGGTTGTGTTGATATTCAGCAGTTTAAGCTCTGAAGAGAGCCTTGAAAAGGTGCCTGAAGTTCGAGGAGTTTTACCTGTACAGGGCTTTCAAGAGAATGAGTATTAGTTTCATGTGTTGGTTAAATTCTTTGTCGGTATTATGATGATTTATGGATTTGCATGCGAAAGGAGATTTGTGGAGAGGATTTAGGAAAAATTTACATGGGTTTCAGCCCAGAGTGCAGAGAGAATGTCTCTATTTTCTAGAGAGGTTACTGAATAAATGCTGCAAAGGTAGCTGCATCAGTAGCCATTTGTGTCTGGAATACCAGGTGACAACTAGAAGAATCCAGCTGTAACCAAGAGCATTCTGGGTCTTTTTACTACCTGGAGCTATACTCAGGCGTTGGTGAGGTCCCTCCAGGCTCCAGCGTAGCAAAAGTTGGTTGTGATCCCAACTAAATGCGATATCTTATTTTCAATTCTTATGTATATTTTCAAATCTGAGTTCCTACATGATTTTATTTAATTTTCTTTAAAACCAGTCTTTGCCTAAGTAAGTAGGCAAATTGCTTTGAGTAATTTCCTCCTTACATAGAACAAGAATACGAGTCTCCCCCCTTCTTGTTTCCTCCTTCCCTTCTTCTTTTTTCCTTTCTTCTTTCCTTCCTGTAAATATATATGTGTGTATATATATATATACATATATATATACATCTATACATATATATATAGAGAGAGAGAGAGAGAGATACATAGTTTTGATTTAATTTAATTTAATTCTGTGTTCTGTAGGGCACTAGTATTCTTAGAAAAGAATGCTCATAAGCCTCATTGCAAGTTCTTCTCCTCTAAAATAAAATGGTATTCGGGTTTCTGAAAATATATTACCAATTGATGCTCGCATATTAGTTTTATTTCATTTTTAAGAAATTAGGAGAATAATAGGTTTTGCAAATGTGCTAAGATTAGATTAACCCAAACATCTGTGTATTTGACTTGCTTTCAGTTCAGCTCATCCAAAAAATTATTAAGTGAATATATCAGAGTGAGTCTTATCAGGAAAAAAACACAAATTTTGTATGCTGATTATCATAGACTTGGTAATGTTGAAGAAGCATCACAAAATTATCCATAAATACAGAAAAATATTATGTAAATAAAACTGCCAATTGTGTATAAAATAGTCACTTTGGACTACCAATAAGTCACTTAAAAATATACTGAGTGGTTTATTCTTTAAATTTCTGTGCTGTATTAAAACTGACCAATATCCCTTCAGGTTTTTCTAAGCATATTTTAAGCTTGAAGTTGGTGGTGGATTTAATGTAGATGAAACTTTAGCTTTTAATAGCTTTTATGACAACCTCAAATGATACAGTCTTCACAGCTGTTGACATTTAAAACATGCCTGCACCTAATACGGACAGTATTGAATACAATGAGCGGACCTTCAGATGTCCTGAAATGATGGAATAGTTGCGTGCTGTTAAAGCCATGTAAAACTTGAAGCTATAGAACCTTATTTATGCCTCATAGCCAAACAAACTTTGTTTTTTCCAGTGCTAAAATTATGCAGAAATCTACCCAATTTCTAAGGAGTGTTTTGGTGTGGCCTTAGATATTATCTGTCTGCTTAATCATTGTCAATAATAATCTCTCCTACTTCACTGTAAGTTTTTTAAGTATTTTCCTAGAGTTAACTGGCCACTATAGAAAATTTCACGGATACGTTTTTTTCTTTGCCATTTTGACAGTTTGTGTGTTTTTGATATGTTGTCCTTGTTGAGAAATAAAAAGGTATCTTTCCTTTCTTCGCAGTAGATCTAGAATTGGAAATTTAGTTTGTATTATTTAATTTTTGGCTTTTGATGGTCAGTTTAAGGTTTACTCTTCTTAGAGAATTTATCTTGGCTAAATGTTTTAATGGTCCTTAAGGAACATTCTCATAAGTAGAGCCTGTTTTTTTAAAGACAAGGAGGAAAATTCAGTTGAAATGGATATTTTATCCTTGTTATTTTTTTTGACTTTTCTTTTTTTAAGCAAGAAGAGTAACTAAGTTTGGTCTATTTCAGAATCCAATCATCTATTTATTGTCATTACTTTAAAAAAATCTCTGCTCTGTTTTAATAGCAATAATGTGACTTAGTTTATATTAGCTTCGTTGCATGCATTGGATTGCTTATTACTTATAACAAGATCCATGTGCCTTCCCACTGCACGAAATATATATTTTAATTTGATCTAAAGAGGTGGTCTGCAATAGTCACTGTAACACGTTTGCTCCGGTATTTTTAGATTCCTCTGCCATGTTTTTTTTTCTTTTTTTTAAGCTCAAATTAGTATATACCTGGTAAGATATTTCTAAAACTTGCTTTGGTATGTATGAATAGTTTTCTTACAAATAATAAGAAACTGGGGATAGTAAAAGGTTTCTTTTCAAGTGATTATGACTAGCTAAAGACATTTATATGTTTTCTTCAATACATATTTACCGTGATAAATAGTAATAAATCTGTCACAATCTGTGGTGTGAACTCACTTTTTTTTTTTCTTTTTGAAATGGGCCCTTTCTCCTCCTTGACATAAAAGAAAGAAAATGTAAACTGTAACATCTGTAATGAGATATTATTTATGACCTTACCAGAGCACAGAGGCTGGACCTCTTTTGTCGCCATTAGGCTGGGTCTTCACAGGAAATGAGCGCAAGGCTTGTCTGGCCCTGTTTTTGAAAATACTGCAGCATCTGTGGGAGAGAGGAAACACAAGCCTGGCCCAACATCACGCCATGGATCTGGCAGGATCCTTGAATGTGTTTGGGCTGGGCACTGCCTCTAGAGACCTCGAGTCACTGAAGAAGCATGACACTGATAGGATGGCGGAAGAGCCATCCTGAGGGGTCGCCTTGCACAGGCGCAATGGAGGGAAGGAATTCTGTCCCTCTGGACCACAGGGGCCTGTACTTAGGGCTAGGGTGATGTTTCTTTAAAGGCGAGGCTGTGTGAAATGGCAACTAATTGCCCGCAAGAGCCCTGCTGAGTGCTGCAGAACATTTTTTGTGTTCTCTGTTCACATGGGTGGTACGTTCTTCTTTTCAGGCACCTACCAGTTTCTTGTAACCCTCATCTTTTGATGAGAGTTTAATAATAAAGCTTTATTTTTTGTTGATGCCAGAATTTATTTCACCACTCTCTGATTTCTTGGATCTGCACATGAACTTCTTGTTTGATTTCTACACTTTGGTTTCCTTTTTTAAATCGTATATCTTAAACTTGATATTTTTCGATTTTACTGCTCTTCCATCATAGTTTCTATCTTTGTACAGCCTAATAGTCACACCTATTGAATCGTGAATTCATACAGAGAGAAATATACCCATTAAATCACATTTTGGGGGGACAATGATCCATAATTCTTAGAAATTTATATGGAAGCATTAAAATCTAGAAAGCAAAAAATTTTCACCTTATGTCATTCTAAAATATTTTTTCCAAACACACATAAAAAACTCAAAGACGTGGTCTTTTAGAGACTTTATTGTGCCCACCAATATGGAAACACATAAAACTGCCCTCTTCTTATAACTTGAATGCATGAAATGATATACATTTAACCAGAAACTGTTAACAACTGCAACCATTCTACTTGGAATGTTGATGAAAATTTGTCTTCAATTCCAATCGAGCTTTAAAACTTTAATGACAGTGTCACTGTCTTCCCCACTTGGAATCCCTGGAACTTCAGACTTCTCTAGAAATAAGAAGTTTTATCTTTAGAAATAGTTTATGACCTGTCTTATCACCAGTGATTTTTCCAAACTGAACTTTTCAGTAAAGTCTATTTTTTATGTTAAATTTACTTTTTCTTTCTTTGTGTGTTGTTTTCTAAATCAGGAAGATCTGGCAAACTTGGTATTAAGTGATCAGGAATAATTCTGGACACATGAATCCTAAGGACAACAATCTCTACAATAGTAACACTTCTAAAATAAGATTTGGGCACTCCCAGAAAATTTTAGAGATGAGTTAATCTTTAGATGGACTTGAAAAATACAACTTCAATGTATATGAGATACCAGGTTTACTAGTTTTCTTAAAGAAGAATTCTTAAAGAACATAAAATCTTAATGTTTAAATGAGTTTTTGTTTTTTTGTTTTTTGGTTTTTGTTTTTGTTTTTACAGAAGAGATTGTTAGGAAAATATCAGGGAAAGTTGGATAATGCTGATGGCCTTCAGTGATCTGTGTGTTTTACATTATATAAAAAACCTTCATATGTGAAGGTAGCAAAAATGATCTTGAGTTCATACCTTAAAAAATTTTTAGGAAGGAAATGTTTTTTCTCAAATGCTTGAGGAAATCAAAATTTAAAAGAGAAGTTGGTAATTGTTTATTTCCTTCTTAGAGGCTCAGAAATCATATGTTTGAAAAGTCAGTACTTAAAATATATAATTTCCCCCATCACTTTGAAAGTGATCATATATCACAGTGATGCTATTTCATGTCAGCAAAATTTTGACTTGAGTGATAATGCAACTTACATTAAAATAAAATATATATTAATTTTAAAATGAACTAAGTGTCAGCGACCTGGACTCCTTCCTTTGTAGGAAATTCTAGAGTAACCAATTATGTGATAATGTATAAAAGGAGGGGCCTCATCAAGGTTCATTCTTGGAGAGGTAGATCCTTTGTGAAAAGTATAACTATAGGTGTTTACATTACAATATTTGGTTAACTCGTAATAGTTAACTTTAAACTTAGGGTGCCCATTCTCCAATTAAAAATATTGAAATATGAAGTTTGGATATTAAACCTATGTT